AAGGACACCGAATCTACAGGTGGAGATAAACGTAAATATCGTTGCGAAAATACGGAAACGTGAAAATATTTTGATGACTTACGACCAACCTTTACCTGAGTTAATGTTCCCCGGGTAAATTCGTAGCGTTTTTCTAAAGGTCAAACGTCCAAATTCCAAGACCAATTTAGTTACAATTCCCATTCTTTTCCCTTAAAATATGCCCTCTTTTTGGCCGATGAACTCCTCAGAGTAATATTGGCAGCCACCCAGCGAAATGATGATACTTCCCGTTTAACGGATTTTCTAGAGTCCGCGAAAAGGGAAAATCCGACGGTGCAAGGTCGGGTAACAAGGAAGAACGAGGCAGGCAATATAAATCATATTAATTGTTGTCCTCTGTAATAGATTATGAGGAGTCCTCTGCTCGGATTTTACGATTGTTTGTTTTATAAGAAGTTTATAATAATCTTTTATTGGGACTGGAAGTTCAACATAAATTTCATCTGATGCAAGTCCGCAAAGTTGCTAGTAGTGAATCATCGATTCATTACACAAATGCCCACGTATATATACACAGAAAACAAGACTAATCAACTTCTACTCGATTTGTTATTAGAAAAGTCTTTTTCATAGTCAAAACAGATAAAAATATATGACGAGTCTATATTAATCAAGGCTAGTAAAAAACCAAAGTTCTATTAGTGCCCCTCATAGATAACATTTCGTCCTTTGCATGCAGCTTAATCACTCACAGAAACACAAGGGTACACGTTACAAGGATTTTACTACTATTTTCTAGATAAGTTAACAAATGCTTGTAAAGCTAAATAAAACGACAGTCAAATTTTATTGAGGAGAAGATTACTGTAATAAAACAAAAGCCTACGTTGCCAGATCTACAATATGTCTGGGCAAAATGGCCGGCCTACACTTGTGATTATTTCCGACGCTATGCCAACAATAAGCCATTATTTTTACAAATTTATTTATTTTTAAATTTAATATATCATAAATAATGTATGAATGACTTGAAGAGAGAGAGAGAGGGGGAAGAAAGAGAGAGGAGAGAGAGAGAAAAATGGAGGGGAGGGAGAAAGAGAAAAAGGAAAGACAGAGGAGAGAGAGGGGGAGGAGAGAAAGAGAGATAAAAGAGAGAGGGGGGAGAAAGAGAGACATATGAGAGAGAGGGGGGAGAAAAAGAGAGATAGAAGAGAGAGGGGGAGAAAGAGAGATAGAAGAGAGAGGGGGGAGAAAGAGAGGTAGAAGAGAGAGAGGGGGGAAGAAAGAGAGAGGAGAGAGAGAGAGAAAGATGGAGAGGAAGGAGAGAGAAAAAGAGGAAAGATAGAGAGAAAGTGAGAGGATAGATAGTTAGAGAGAGAGAGGAAGCGAGAAAGAGAGAGGATAGAGAAAAAGGAAAAGTAGAGGAGTGAGGGAGAAATATAAATCAGCTTTGAGAAGAAAAAAACAAGTCTTGGTAAAGTTGTACAAAAAATATATAAATCAAACTATTTAAAAAAATATATATTTTTTCCACATCACATTACATACGAAACCTACATAAAACATTTCTCTGAGTTTTTATTTAAATTTTATTCACTAATTTCGTGGTCCTCTTGACCAACTAATATATTACAATTAATTAAGGTTTTTAGTTGAGATAAAAAAAGTCAATGGCACGAGCAGGATTCGAACCCACGATCTTCGGCTTGATATGCCGCTGCTCCTCGATCCACTCGGACACCAACTTCCCATCTCAACCGCACCTTTTGAAATTTCCCTCCTTTTTGTCATTTTTCAAATGTCGTGTAATCAGATTGGATTCTCGACGACAAATGAAATGGCCACGGAGAGCTTTAGTGAAGTATACTTCATTTCAAATCATTAAATTCACTAATTTGGTGGTCCGCTTGATCAATTAATATATTAAATTAATTAAGGTTTTTAGTTGAGATGAAAAAAAGTCAATGGCACGAGCGGGTGAGATGGGAAGTTGGTGTCCGAGTGGATCGAGGTCACGATAGCTCAAGTGGTAGAGCAGCGGCTATCAAGCCGAAGATCGTGGGTTCGAATCCCGCTCGTGCCATTGACTTTTTTATCTCAACCAAAAACCTTAATTAATTTAAATTTTAAGTTTTATTATTCAGCTGATGGGTATTGATTTATAGGAGCATCGTGTGATACATGTATTCAAGGAATTGTTTCCAGCATAATGGATGTTTTAAGTCAATTCCAGAATTGGAAAGTGTTTGTTTTAGTTAGTATTATTAATGACAGGCTAATAAGGTTCGATGATAACGGTCAATAGCACAAACGAACAATCGGCTTGTTTTGTTTTTGCGTAATCCCGGCTTTCTCCAAAGAGTGAAAGCATTTTCAAAACCCTGCAGGCTTGCGTAGGACTGTCTTTTTTTAATTCAAAATTTATAGTTGTAAGTCAAAAGAAAAGGTTTTCAGGAATAAATCTGAAATTGAAAGGGAATCGAGAAATCGACAAACGGATAGAGAGAAAAAGGCTTACCCGCTGAACACCCTTCTTTTGTTGACGGGTGAATTCGTTGTCGCAGCTCCCTCGCTTGTACCTGGATCTGGAACAGAAAAAAAAAAAACATGAGATCTTATCGCTGGACAGTGCCAAGAGTAAACATGTCCCTCTTTTGCTATTTGGGACGACTTGGAAGACGTGGGTGTTGTTCTTTGACAATGGTTTGTCCAAGGCTAAGAAACAATGGATTGCTTAACATCCTATTTACTTTTGAAGAACTTAGACGGTAAATCAGTCTGAACAGATTTAAACACGGAATTATAAACACCGGCGGCCTGCATAAATAAAACAATGATAGGCTTTGCCCTACTTGAATCTATTTTGAATAATTTCCATTCGGTAAAAATCCCCCAAAAAAGGTCTAGTTTGACAAAAAAATTATTAAACGTACATGAAATTAAGAGGGCAAAAGAAACAAGCTAACTTTACAAACATAATTAATTAAGGAAGATCCCATGGGAGTAGTTAAGGAACTTCGTCAACGATCAATTCTGGAGTTGCTGGCCTGTTATGCATGAGTTTGACTAATTATGACCATAAACTTTGTCAGATTTTAATTGTTAATCCGCTTGTTCTGTTGCATAACATCTCACACGTGTGGGAATAAACTATTAACGAACAAGAGAGTACTTGATACCGTAACTTACGACGCTGGGGTTAAGCGGGACGAAACTGGCCACAGAAGAAAGCCATGAGCAAAAGTTTAAAAAATTATCCGGATAACGATGCAACGTTTAACCGCCTAAACATATAAAAGTTCTTTATTGACAATATTAAATGCACATACAGGAAAAAATCGTCGAATGGAAGGAATATACAAAAACCCTTTCAAACACTAAGTCCATATTTTTCTCCAGTTATCTATTTTTTAAAACCGTCTTGAAGCCTGCAAACCGTTATCTGTTTGCTAAAAAACCCCGAATATTTACAAATAAAATAATTTTACCAAGGTTAAGATAGAAATGAGATAAAACGACATAAAAGAGATACCGATTATTGGTAAGTTCAATATTTAAGAATAACATGACCCAGTTTGGCAATATCATAAGTATTTTACGAACAAATATCGGTACAGTTATAATTTAACTTAAATTTGGAGAGATAACACAGATTTAAGGGCACTCATCTAGCATCAAACACTAGGAAAAAAAAGTTATAAACAGTTGCTTGATCTATGGCCAGTCCGACTATCAACTCTGATGCATGAGGGTAAACCGATGATGGAGGTTTTTTCCTCTTTACCTGCTTTCTTTTCCTTACCCTATCCCTTTATCCTTTTCTTTCTTTTCCTCCTTGTTTCGAAAACCGGCAAGGGTACAGGAGCTGGGGTCTTTGGGATGACCCCAAGAGCGAACTGACGGTAAACCTAGGCAAGTATGCTATAGTTTTCCAGTCTGAAATCATAGCGATTGAACAATGTGCGGTTGTGAGCGACTATAACCTGACCCTGGCATAGGTCCCTGGACATTCGGGGCATAGAGGCAACGAAAAGGTTGACATGTTGGCCAAAAAGGTAGCCAACATGGACTCTATGGGCTCAGAACCCTACTGCAGCCTACCAGCCTGCCACAAAAGAGGATACATCATAAAATGGATTCTTAATAAGTCAAAAAATGGTGGAACAATACCACAGGTATGAAGCACGCGAAGAGATTTATAGAAGGGCCATCCGCAAAACTTCCGTAACCGAACCAGGATTCTGGTTGGACTCCTGAGAGGACATTGTGTTCCCGAGTACTCATCGTCAACAAGACAAGAGGATCTTTAGCGTCCGCACCTGGCCTTTGGCCTTATCGGACGTTTTGATTCTCAAGATGAGAGCTTACGCAGCTGCATACGACGGAATGGTGTTACCGCCGCAGCATTGGTGTAGAGGCGCCCCAGCCCTTAAGGGCCGAGACAACCTCGCTCTCCGCTTGTCCACTCCGAATGGTCGGTCCCGCATTGTGCATGGGTCGTATGCCACACGCGAGGGGCTAACAGGCCATACATCGCCCTGTCCCACCCTCCCCGCGTACTCCCTAGATAGAGAAGGCGACTCTATCTCTCTGAGTATAGAGGCTCCCCCAGCGTAGAAACTTCCGGGAACGCCCCGGCAGCGGTTTAGTTTAAAGTGGAATTGCTAACCACACCCTAGATGAGCACCGCCTACGGTAATCTCTAATCGAGCTCAGCCTACACCTGTCACGCGCTTTCGAGAGACGCCATAGGCTCAGCCTAGTTGGTCCGATCCTTCTCTTCCCCAAGGGTACCACGCCGGTCATACGCACAACAATGCGCACACTCGAGTCAGAGACACCGCTTCACTACCCGCTTCCATTCGCTTACTCACGCATTCGAGGAACTATAGCATGATCATTGCGTCCTCAACGCTTACACGCTGTCGTCCGGTCGCAACGTCTCCCGTGAGGCCGGGGGGTTTTACGTTGGCCATACGCAAGCTTCACTGAAGTCACAGATAGAAGACAGCCTCTGTCTAAGTTCCCGCCAGGGGCGTCACCACGCACCACCACGAATCCATTCCCAGTGTAACTAGGGCTGAATTTTGAAAGTTTAGTTACCCCGTGGTGGTACAGATTTATAGATGGCCATACACCCTCCCCCGTCTTTGCAGACAGGATCTAGTGCACTGGCCCTCGTGTGACTCTGCTAAGGCACCCGCCGCCCATGCCGACCCTTAGGCCGACATGAGTACAGCTTGTGCTTTAGAGAGGTTGCCACGCCCTCTGGGCTGCACCTTTATTTTCTGCTCGGATACCCCCCTTGCAACCAAGGGTTAGGAGGGGTCACAGGATAGAATGAAGGAGCTCGGACTGAGAAAAAGGGCCGTGGATAAGAACACGAGGTGAGCGTTTCGGAGTCTCGAGTCTCAAACCACACTATACCACCCGTTGTCGCCGTAGTTCCACATAAAGTGGGCCACGACTCCCAAGGTGGGTTCCTGACAGGACACTGCCACATAAGAAAACACATGCACCGGATGGGAGTACAGACAGAAGAAACACTGTGCAGATACTGCCAGGAAGGGGAGGAGACCGAAAACACATTTTATGTTTCTGTGAAGGTCTATGTAGGTGCAGGTTCTTGCAACTAGGACAAGAAAACCCATAAGCAAGATCCTACACCACGGAACCGCTGGCAAAGCTGTGGAGGCTGGCTAATAGACTGCAGCTGGCCAATGAGTTATAATTAACAGAGGAGCACAATAGATCTATTTAGGTCGAGGTGCAGCAGGCCATGTGGCTCTCCTATCCCTATCCCCCTCTGCTTTGGCAGTGGCTTCCTGGATTACTGAACCCGCACCCCTCAAGCAAAGGGTGGGTTATCAGTCCAATCACCCAATACTGTACCACGGGAGGGGGTGATTCTAAGCAGCCCCCAATTGAGGATAGACTAATGGTTTATAAAAAAAAAAAGCATGTACCTTAGCTGTAGGGTACTGGCTTACCAGAGATTATAGAGTGCCTCCTCTATCTCTACTGAGGTGGTAAATGGCACGGATAAAAAGCTGTGCCAGAAACCACAAAACTGCCTTCTTTTAAGAGCACTTCTGAACTTGGCATTGCATTACCTCGCTACCCAAGGAATGTGACAACTCCACGAATGTAAAATCTTCCTGGTGTTCTCTTAGAGAACACTACACGTCTGAGAAGTCCCTTCGTGGTCAAGTCCGGACGTTAAAGATCCTCTTGGGTCTCAACATCCACGAGTTCAGCCTGACCATAAATGATCCTTTGAAACTCGCTTTCCAAATAACAAATAAACCAATTTATAATAATATTTTAATAATTAAAAACAATTTTTATAATCTAGCATTGAAAGCGTTTCTTATCAATAAGTGCAAAGCTAAACGCAATTTGTGAATTATTGCTTCAATTTATTTTTTTTTAAATGTAAATTATCAAGCAAGACATCTATAAATTTATGACGATACTCTTTCCTTGAGTTTAAAAGTATATTTGTCTCAAAATAATATATAGTTCAGGATATCTTGACTTCGTTTAACAATTTAAAATAGTTCCATTCTGTAATATTAAAAAAAAATTGACAATTAAATCTAATGTAAATGAAAAACAAATGGAACCCTTTCAAACATTACAACCATTTTTTTAGAGTTATCTATTTTTTTTAAACAGTCTTGTCAAGCTTGCAGACTGTTATCTGTTTGCGAAAAAACCCTGTATATATACAATTATAAAATAATTTTTCCAAAGCTAAGATACAAATGAGATAAAACGACATAAAAGCGATACCGATTACTCAATATTTAAGAATAACATGACCCAGTTTGACAATATCATAACTATCTTATGAACAAATATCAGTACAGTTATAACCTAACTTAAATTTGTAGAGATAACACAAATTTAAGAGCCTTCATCAATAATCAAACACTAGGAAAAAGAAAAAAAAATATAGTGGATTTTCGGGTCGAACAATAAGTTTAAATACATTGTCTAAATTAATTACAGCATAAACTTCCGAACTTCAGGTCAGTCTGACCATAAATTATCGATTGAAACTCTCTTTTCAAATGACGAACAAACCAATTTAAAATATTTTTTTAATAATTAAAAACAATGCACGTTTTTGGCCCGACTGGCAGAAGGAGAACCTCAGCGGAGCTCTAAAATGCTTTTCCAACCGAACAATCAAGAATGTAAACAAAAGCGCTGTGAAGTCCAACGAAACAAAAATCTAAAATAAATCTTCGTGCAATTTATTTTCAAATGGGTGAACAAAAATTTGGGTTTTGACCAATAGGCATCTGTAGTATGATCAGAGCTTCGGTTCGAACAGAAACTACCTAAAGTTGTCGATGGTTATCTGGTATTGCCAGTATAAGTTTTACCTAAGGACTTGAAAAAAATCCATCATTGATATTTTATATAACATACTGTGAATAATTAAAACAGTTATTCTATGTTTAACGAGCTAGAAAAGACAGGAAAATATCCTAAATATTGCATATACGAATAAATAATTATTTATTATTAGTGAATTATGTTCGAAATTAAATATTCACAAGAGCTAAAATAGTAT